AAGAAATTTGCCGAAAGCAACAATGAATACATGACTAATTATAACCCAGAAAAAGAGGCCTCAGTGCTTCTGTACATGGACTTTAACAGTCTTTATTCTGGAGTTATGCTGGAACCCCTACCTATTGGTAACTATCAGTTCATGTCAGCACAAGATTATGAAACTATTGATTGGGTTACAATAGATACCCAAGGGGATACAGGTTACATTTTGGAAGTGGACTTGCACTATCCTAAACATTTACACAAACTTCATGCTGCTTTCCCCATGGCTCCTACCCATGACAACATTCCCTTTGAGGACTTTTCACCTTATCACAAAGAGTTACTCAGCCAGTTCTATACCTCCCAGTGTCAAAAACCCTCAGGCAAGAAATTGTTTGCTACTTTAAAAGATCGCTTGAACTATGTGGTTCATTTCAAAACTTTGCAACTGTATTTGAGACATGGGCTAGTCCTCCAACACATTCATAGGGTGTTAAAGTTCAAGCAAGGTCCCTGGTTGAAACCCTATGTTCAGTTAAATTTGGAAAGTCGCAAACACGCAACTGATGCCTGTGACAAGGACCGATATAAACTTATGAATAATTGTGTGTTTGGCAGGTTCTGTATGAATAAACGCAAGCGGAAATCCGTGCACTTAGTGACCAAAAGACAGCAATTTCGCAGTTATGTAGCTAAAACCAATTTCAAGCAGGTGAAAGTGTTTTCAGAAGATGTTGTGTCCGTGGAAATGGAGCAAGTGTCTGTCCATTTAGATCAACCTATCGCTGTTGGTTTCAGCATTTTGGATTTAGCCAAATTTCAAATCCTTTCTTTCTATTATGACGTCATGCAACAGCAATATGGACCAGAACGATTGGACTTGCTCATGACAGATACAGACAGTCTCTTTTTGCACATTCATGCCCCTCCACACGAGACTTTGCTTGATCCCTACATATTCATGAAGCAAAATCTGCATTTGTTTGATACTTCCAATTATGATCAGAACGATCCTAAAGGATTGTATTCGAATGAAAACAAAAAAGTCACAGGAAAGATGAAGGATGAAGCTGCAGGAAAGATCATTTTAGAGTTTGTAGGGTTGAAAAGCAAAATGTATTCCTTTTTGATACAATCAGATGAGAACACTGTGTCAAACCAAAAGACAGCTAAAGGAATAAAGAAATCTGTCATTGCTAAGCAATTGACCCATAAGAAATACAAAGACAGTCTCCTGGAGAGGAAACCTTTTTATTGTTCCTATTCACTCATTCGCTCTCACAATAACACTTTATACACTGAGTCATTGAGCAAAATAGCATTATCCCCCTTAGATGATAAACGTTATGTACTAGAGGATGGTATATATAGTTTACCCTATGGGTATTCACCAGTCTAAGAGTATGTGGTAATGCTGTTCAAGTTCCACATTTTAGAGATGGGTGATTGATACAGGTACCCTCCTCCTTTTTTGCCGAATGTTATCCATTTTTAATTTAACAATAATAATAATTCTAATATTAATAGTAATAATTGCTGTTATCATCACACTTAAAGTGTTTCACTCATTTAATTATCTTTATGATTACAGCAACATGAGTACCACCGGATTCATTTACCAGTTAAGACGAAACGGCGGCAATGACATACTGTATTATGAAGGCAGAAGCTTCCGAAGAAGCCATGAGGATGCCATGCAGGCAGGTTTACAGCGTGCAAGAAGAATGTTCCATCAAGACGAGAATCATCAAACACCCAACTATTCAGTAACTGTGCGTGAAGATCACATCAACAGGAGACAAATAACCAATCGCTTACAGCTGCGTCGAAACAAAAGACTTTTCGTAGGCGTCTTGGAAACTCACTATCTCAATGAACTCCAGAGACTTGTTCGGAAGTTATGTTGTGATAATTGTTATGGATGTGAAGTTAATCATCCATCGCAAGTACATCACCAGTGTCTCATGATGAACAGTGACGAGTGTATTACTCAATACTTTGATCGTGCAGTGAATGAGCTGCCCCTTCATACCATCTTGGAAAAAGCCAAGCAACAGAGGGTAAGCCTTGGGCTAGAGTTTCAGGATCAGCACACTGTGCATTACAATGACTCGGATTATATGCATAGTAATTTCTTCTGCAATGACAGAAAAGAAAGACTTGAGATGCAGCTCAGAGTCCTCATGAACATGGAAGATAGTAATAACTAAAAGTCGCATGTGTTAGCATTATTTTATTGCTTTACAATCTGAAAGTTACATAGAATACATATCATGAATTCAATGTACATGTACAGTTAGAAAGACTCTAGTTTTCTTAATTTTGCAGTAGTGTTAGCACCGGGTACACCATGTTGTGCTTGTCGTTTTATATATAAAGATGATTTTGCCTTTTTTCTTTTGTCGTTTTTTTTCTTGACATCTGGCTTATACAAAAGCCGCTTCGGTACATGGAGCATTTTTAAAAGATTGAGAAAGTCACGGTAGCCTGAAGGAACAGCCCCACGATGCATCACAGTAAAACGAATGAGGTCAATAACGTTAGTTCCGATCCACACATTCTCATTATCTAAAACAATTTCTAACTGATTATTCAGTCTGAAGTGAGCATTTCTGATCTGATCCTTGATAAAGTACCATAGTTTGGCAAGTTTGCCAATCGTTTTAGTTAATGACACATCCTTAAGAAGTAGATCCAGAATCAAGTTCGTATTCGCTTTAATCTGTGCTTCATCATGGGTGATTTCTTCAGGGGTCTCATTCAGTCTCAGAGGACTCGTCTCCTGATCTGGAGTCACTGTCATTATCTGTTGTTCCTGTGTCACTGTCTTCTCCTTTTCCTGGTTGTCTATTAGACGTTGGTATGTGTTCCTGTTCAGGAGAACCATAGGTCTGCTCATGATGTAGGTAATCTAACAGTGCAGCAATGCAAATAGGCAAGATGGAATGATGTCTTATCAACACCTCCTTTTTAATCCGATTGGGAAAACCTTCTTTGGCAGCCAATGTTCTAATGTGAAACCTATGACGGTGCAAGCGAGTTTTATCCATCAGTGAGAGTGGAATATTCCCTTTCAAAATGTTTAACATCATGCTATTAATAGCATGCATTTGTTCACATGACACATATTGAAGTAAAGCTTTTCTCTGCTTCACATTAGCCTGCAGTAGTGTCTGAAGAAAAGACAGATGTTTTTCCAGTAAATCACCCATATTGAAGTGAGGAGATCACAATGTGAAATGATCCAACTAGGTAATTGTGTCTTTTATATATATATATATATATATATGTATGCTTAGACTCTAATATTCCTCATACACCATAGCCAATGTCTCTCATTCAGTATTAGAAGCTATCATGTTTATGTAACTACACTGAGGTGATAACCTGAAATGTTCAGTTAGTGGATCATCTTCTGGCATCCATTTATGTACACGCAATCGACACATGAAACAGTAGACTTTATCTGATTGACCCGTGTAAATGAATCCTGCTTGTGCCATAGTCTTCAGTGACTGTTTCATTTGCATGGGCCAACTGACAAAGGACTTTAATCTCTCACAAAAGCTATGACCATACACTTCAGCATTGGTTGAAATCACTGAACAATCGTTAGCAATATCTTCAAATCGTCCGCAAACATCCATGATGATCTCAGTAAGCAACTGATCTGTTCATTGGTAAGACAGGCAACTGGTGGGTATAACTTTGAGCAGTAGCTTTTATTTGGGTTGGTACACAATACATACTTCATCTGGAAAGACACCACTGCGCAGACGCCCATACTGAGGATCAGAATAGGGTGATACATCAATCATTAAATATTGAAATTTCTTTCCCTCCACTGCATCACGAAATGATTCAGTAAAATATTTGGCTTGACCCGGAAATATTTGAGATGCCAAGATTTTATATTCATGTGCAGAACGTGGGTTAGATAGCAAAATGAAGTAGTGTGTATTCAAGGAAATAGTTTGGTTACAATCCCCCTTAGGATAAGCAGACTGTTGAATATTTATAACACTGATTCCCCAATGATGAGACAATGTAGTGTAGAGATTTAACATCAGTGGATTTTTACATATATCCATCATCATGTCATCCATGACCAACACCATGTTCTTTTCAGATTGCTCAGACCACATTTTCAAATCATTCTCAGTTGGAAGGGAATCCATAAAAAGAATGTTTTGCCGCATGTCACTGTAGATGTCTTGCCATACAGCATAGCAGTACACAATAAGGTTAGGAGGTTTGTCAAACATCAGATTAGTCTGCTCTAACAACCTTTTCACCCAAACTGTTTTCCCTGAGGAAGATCCACCAATCACAGATATGGTGGTAGGTGTTTGTATTGGTAAGAGACACTTACGTTCCATGATCACACTCTGAGCACAATAATTCAACTGTGACATTACAGCTGAGTTACTTATATTTATAGAACAAACTCGAATGACTACACTAATTTCTTTTTTATTTTATTTTTTGTAATGGGTTACACAAGTACAGTAGTATGTTACATGACACAGGTATGACAAGATAACAAACAATATCTAAAATAATTACAGATAAACTTTGACACATGCTCATCATTGTTAAAACGGACTTGCACATCAAATATCTGCACAAGGGTTTGAAGGGTAAGTTCTGTTTTGCATTTATACAACAAATAATATAAACAATAATGACCACAAAGGTTGGACGATGAGGACTGTAACTGTCTTCTGTTGTGTTGGTATTGATTGACATAGGTTTTTAAGAACAAGTCAAAAACGGAATTCACTGGCTCACCCAGACTGTCAAACAGTTCCCCTGTATTTCCTTTGAAGTACATAGCCACCCAGTGACGACCCAGTCTTCCAGATGGTTCAGTATTGACAATGAGACCCACTCCACGTGCAAGCATGACACTAGTTAGCACAGGTAAAGTATCTTTGGCAAACACACCTAAGACCTGGTACTTTAAGATGGAGTCACTTTGAATAGCACATGCAAGGTCAGAGGCTTTCATGTTTTTTACTTCACAAACACGTTCCTGGTCTTGTCAATTTCAATGAGGGAATTTCTTTCACTCAGAACAACACAACTGAGTGTTTCAGTGAGGGCGTTTTTGAACTCGATTTCTAATCGGGTGCTACCAGATTTCAACAGATTCAGATAGTCGGTTTCACTGCATACTTTATCACTGCATACTTTATCAATGTCAAAGACGAACAGGGCACTCCCAAGCAAAAAGTCGCTCCGAGTGATTCCGTTTCCCGTATTTTCTTTCCACAGACACATCCCATCAAACATCTGCACATAGGACTCAACATCATCTGCCTGCATGGGACGTCCGGGGACACTGGCACCATTGATGTACAGGCTGATGTTTTTCACCATACTAGATTGGAAGTTGTAGGGGTTACCAGTGTAAGATCCATTCAAGCTGTTGCTGAGTACAAAGCCTACAATGTAACGATTAGCAATAGGATTTGACAGATTGTCAATGGTATGTGTCAGTTGAGTGGTGGGGATGCTTGTCACCTTGACCTCGCTTTTGGTGTAAGGATACAGAGCATTGCTGTCTTGAAACAAGGTGTTGTGAGCCAAAATAAGAGCTGGATTGACTTTCAGTTTACACACCTTCAGGTAGGTATCCAGAATTTCTACCTTGTAATCTTGACCTGTTTTGCCACTCATCAAACAGAACTGGGGTGAGGAGCGGTACAGCTTCATTGTCAAATCCACTCCATTGACTAAATGTCTGTTCATGTGAAAGATATCTTCATACAATGGCCCCGACATGGTCAAGACTTTACTATTATTAATGAAGCCACCACGAGATTGCACTCCTGTATTGAGACCAGTGTAGGGATCGGTCGATTCTACATCATTGATAGATTCAGACACATCTTTGTAGAAGAGTTGAGATGACAGCTGTGAAGTTTTAGCTTCTGTTCCATAGTTGAGTAGAGTTTTCATCATGCTCTTGTAAGCATAATGGTTGTTTGTAGAAGATACCAACTGATTCTGCAGATACACTGACACCTGGGAAAAGAGAGCCTGCAGAAACAAGTTGACAGGGACAATATGTTCCTTGTCATCAAGATCAGTGCCATCTGCATGTTTCACCTTGAGCTTCACATGTATGCGGGTACGGTTCAGGTCAATGTAATCCCTTCCAGCATTCGTTACTTGAAATTCCAACGGTGAAGAATCATTGATTTGACTGAGTGGACGCACCTCATCAACATAATGTTGATGGATGCTGGTCTGGTATGGAGGTAAAATAAACAGATTGAGAGAGGGTGGTATCAGTTCCTCAAAGTCTTTATCATTCAACAGTGACATGATTAACTGAAAACGTCGTTTTCTCGAATAGGGGTACACTGGAGAACCTTAGCGGTCTTTGATGGAATGTTATCTGTCTGACGGATCTTCTTTGAAGTGGTGATTTGGTCACCTGCAGCTCGTTTTAAAGATTTCCGTCGCTTTTCTTTTGCATTGGCTCTCTCAACAATATTCTGCGTCTCTGATGTTACTTCCAGTTTGATCTTGGGTTCTTCAGTCTTCACTTGAAGTCGTGTCGGGATCACTTTCACCTGTGGTTTACCATTCACTAAGGCAGATGTTCCTTTCATGTGTTTCTTGAAATAGTGGGTCCATTTGACATAATCAGGGACATACAAAGGTGTGGACTCCATGGTTAATCAATGAAGGGATACCGTCTCAAGTGCAGTGTCACATATGTCACTTCCTTTAGAAATGAGTGTGACATGCCGTTACTGGCCTTTATACGCACCTCTATGTGTGGAGATTCTTTGACTTTAATCGGAATATTGTATTCACAGGCAAACTATAGTAAGGACCTTGTCTGAGATCAAGCCGTCTCAATAAAGGCAACTGCTGTTCACCTGCCAAAGAACTATCACACAGATTGCATAACACGTCCACATATGGATCATTCATGTGGGTGATGTCAAGTTTACCAAAATTAATCTCCGTTAAAGACACAACCCAGAATCCATCAAAATTCAACCTTTGATTTAGTTTAACACGAAAATGATAAGGCGTATTCTCATTAAAATAAGATTGTTTGGAGTCTGAGCTTTTGAGAAATATGTACCTTTCCATCAGATATCTTTCAGTTCACTTTCCTCCACATAAGAATCGAAGGAACTCGGCCAGCCCAACCACCTCACTAACAGGTAGGTCTTCCCTTTCACACGTTTTCTCTTTAAAATCTTCTCTACCTGCCACAAAACATTTTCCTTTTTCTCCACCTTTTGTAACTCATTGCCATAAAACGTACCTTCTATCAGTTTATCATGAAAGTCTTTGATCTTATACTGTGCTATCTCTTGTCTCTTGTATCGTCTAACCACCTTAAACAGCTCTTGAGTCCACTTCAGATCAAGTTCCTTACTGAAAGGTCTCCGGAGGTATGGAATGCGAACAAGATCCCCTACTTTAAATACAAATGCCTTCGACCGGTTGTGTTTGGAGCTTTGTTTTTTAAGTAACAACGGCTTCACATACAAATGTTCCCATACTTTCAGTTCATTCTTCTTCTTGACTTGAACCGGTGAAAGGTTGGGCAAAGAAGAATGTAATGTGTTGTTATAATTGTCCATCAACTTGGGTAGTGCATCTAAATAATACTTGGTGTTATTATGGGTCAAGTAACGAGTAATAAGTGATTTCAGTGTTCTGTTGAATCGTTCCACATAATTACTTTTGATATTTTCATTATGTGCAACAGTCAGAGTGATATTGTGTTTTTCTAAAAAATCTTTAAATACTCCTTTAAACTCTGAACCACCATCCACACGTACTTTCATTGGATTTCGTTCCTGAATAATTTCTTTAAAAGCTTTCAATACTGTCTCTGGTCTCTTATTTGTTAAAGGTAGGGCGAAAGCAAACCTACTCAGTATGTCAATAGCCACCAGTAAATAACGCACGCCATTATTCTCCTTGCTGTAACGAGTCATGTCAGTCAAATCTACATCAAACATTTCATTTATAGAATTCACTCGAACTCTCAGCCTTTTGAATCTCTGTTTGGGTGGCTTGTGTAAACTGTAGGCGTCCTGTTTGTTCAGAAAACGTCTCACAGTGCTCAGTCTGAGATCTGGTTGACGATCTTATTTCAGAACGCTATGAAGTTTCTCAGGCCCATAAAAAGCTCCCGGTTCAAGCGGGTTAAAATAGTAACTTTCTAATATCTTCTCCTGTTTCTTTGTTAGCAACTTTCTCTGTTGTGGCTTCATGATGAAATGAGAGAAGCACTGACAACAGACACCTATTAAAGAACAACCATTTGATAACTATCAAAAGAAGACAAACAAAGATGTAAGCATAATTTATGTTTTATTCATAGTATGAATATTGCTAAAGCACACACACACACACACACACATTTCATTTGGTACTGATAAAATAATATGACATGGAAACAGTCTACAAGCGTTTTTGCAACTTCAACATTTTTACAACACATTGCTTCAAACCATTCACCCATTCAGGTGATTTGAATGTATTGTCACGATAGTCCTTACACTGGTAAGGTACTAAATTGAAAGCAGGCATTGTGCACAGATGTGGATCATCAATCACAGGTTTCATCCATTTTCCTATTACCAGTTCATTGTCCATATCCTCAAGTGCCGCGTTGAAGTATTTATCAACCTGCTCCTGCTCCGACATGCGACAAGAATGATCTCCCAAAAATATTGGATCACCTTCTTCATTAAACAGACAAGGAATACACATTTCACATGCGAGCTGACTGATCATTTTACTCACTTCTAAAGAGTAACTCATCGTGAGAAGATCCTCTGCTTGTTTCAGTTTTGTAGCCATATCTACTTCATCAGCATTGAGTGGTAAGGTTTTCATCTTCTTGATAATGACTCTCTTTGTTGCCTTGTATTCATCTTTAAATTTTCTCTTTGCATCTTTCACGCATTCTTCCTTATCTTGAAACCACTCAGGTGATCGTGTTATGACTGGTTCATTTAGAGTGTGTGGCATCCGCATGACCTGCTTCCATGAGTAGAATGTAGTTTTCTTGACGCTGTTCAAAATAGCAAGTTACATCACTGTAACACATTTAAAACCATCAGTTTTCACTTGACTCAGTGTTCATTATTTCATTTCTAACCTTCATTAAGATCTGACCAAGTCTATTACTGCCTTTCCATTTAGATGGATTAAGAATATTAGGGTCATGCAGTGATAGACCCACACCCCACACACGATCATATGGACTCGCTTCTACCAAGATCTTGGGAAAAGTGTCTAACAGTTGTTTCTTCAGAAAAACAGACTATGAGAATTTAGCTGAAGATGCTGCATACACCACATTGGAACTCACAACATCCCATTGGCGTTGATTAAAACATCTCACACTTCTACCTAAACGTTTTTGTTCAGCAGCAGAAACACACTTTAAAATCGTATGCGCAGTTTCCCAATCACTGAACATACAAGCTTTTTTATACATGTAATACTGCTCAGCACAGTTAAATGCTATTCCTTCAATAACAATCTCAGTAGAAAAATGTTGACTAAACACTGAAGTTCTGGTGTAAAAAAATACATACTTGTCAGTTGTTCGGGTTCCCATGATCAGATTCGAGATGTATACTGGCGTGAAGATTTCGTCTTGTTGACAAGATCGCTGTTTAAGCTCGAATGAAAGCTTCAACAGTTAAACACTGCTTAACTTCTATAAAATTGAATTTCATTGGTGTACTTTGTCTTCCTTAGCGTTTCATTGGTTACTGAGTATTCATCGTACCATACATTTTATAAGTGGATGACACGTTGATCCTGGAATGTTATTGTTAACTTCTATTGTGTGAAAGGTATTGACTGACCTTTGTGGTATGTTTCACAAGAATGCTTTTGTTTGTTTCTTTACTCTATGCGTCTTTAACACTCAGTGAAACGTGAATGAAGTAGAGAAAAATGTTTATAAACGAATTGATTTCGGTGAAAGGGTTAACAGGTTCAGCGGTTAAAACCCACACACGAGTAGATTTATAGGAATGCTGCTCCACAGGAATGCTTTTGATGGAAATTCAACGCTCCACAGGAATGCTTTTGTTGGAAATTCTTTGCTCCACAGGAATGTTTTTGATGGAAATTCTTTGCTCCACAGGAATGTTTTTGATGGAAATTCCACGCTCCACAGGGCTGCTTTGGTCCGGAAGGTAACAGGAATGCTTTTGTTGGAAATTCAATGCTCCACAGGAATGCTTTTGTTGGAAATTCCATGCTCCACAGGAATTTGTTGGAAATTCTATGCTCCACAGGAATGCTTTTGTTGGTGCTCCACGCTCCACAGGAATGCTTTTGTCCGGAAGGTATTACTTTCTCTCTACTAATGTGCCAGGTTTCAACATGCAAAGAGTTTCTGGGATATGGAAGACTGAGAGATATGGTCAAGTGTTCTTAACCTTGTGCTCTAAGGAGGAAGCTGACCGATTACTGGATCTTCAGTGTGTGACTGTGGGAACAGAGAAAGTGTATTTCTATGAGTATGGGAGATACTTAGTATCCTTGAGAGTACACTGGCTTCATGCCACAGTGAGATCGGAATTTGTGAGTGAGTTCTCCAAGTTTGGAAAAGTTGTGGATGTGCTCAGAGAATTCGTGGAGATAGACAAAGTCAAAGTGTTCACTGGTGTAAGGATTGTAAAAATGGAACTGTCAGATACAGAAAAGGACAAGATTCCTCACATCGTTAAGTTCGGGGAGAAACAGTCCATGCTAGTAACAGCCCCAGGGAGAATGCCCATATGTCTGAAGTGCCATGCTGTAGGTCACGTGAGAGCTAAGTGTCCTGACACTGGAAAAGAAAAAGTCACAGAAACACTTCCTAAAGACCAAACCCCCGATGTTGATTCTCTCCCGGAAGACAGTGTTGTGGGTGATGCTGTGGATGATAGTGATATGGACAGTTTAGCAGACGGTTCGGAACTCCCAGTGTTGGAGAGTGATTCTGATGATGTGACTCCTACTGTGCCAGCTGTCACAGTTGATACTTCGTCAGGGACTAAGAGGAAACAGCCGCAAGACGATGGGAAAAAGAAAAAGGATTCAAGATTGGATGTGCCAGAGGACCTTGTTCACTTGAGTTGGGCTGAACAAATGGACATGGAAAATACGTCGCCCCAAGTGAGTGAATCCAGTGATACTAACCAACAGCACACTGTCAATCCTACGTCGCCTTCACAAAGGAATCCGTTTGACTTGACATGGATACCGGACATCACATATGACCTTTGGCAAGATCAACACAGAAAAGAACTCCATCTTATGACGAAAAGATGGACGTTCAA